ATGTCACATGACGTGATGATGCGTGGGTACGATAGCACGTCATCACGCCAATACGAAAGTCGGCTGTTTGCCGCGTTATTTGGTGATAAAAACGCTGCCTTTTCAGCCTTATGTACAGGGGCCCTTGAAGGGACTGGTTCGTCCCGAGCGCGCAGCCCAGCGGTCACATACTGAGCAGGACGTGAGTGAGAGCAGCCAAGCAGCAATACATGCCCAGCACAGCCTAGCTACAAGAAGGAGTTCTGGTTTTCCGGTCTGCAGATCAAGGGACTCTGGTGTCACACCTTGACATCCTACTACTATTGAATAATTTGAAGTCTGGGATTGCAATCCTCAATTGGTGAGATCCAACCAACTTTTTTTCTATATATACATTGAACATTTAATTATCAATTTTTCTCTCATTTTTTCCTTTTTCCCTTTTTTCCATATTTTTCTCTTTTTCATATATTTTTTCTTTTTTTCCATTTTTCCATTTTTTTCTAAACTTTTCAATTTTTCTGTGTTGTATATACAATGTTTTAAACATAGAGAACTATTTAGCGGAGGATCCATTTGAACATCAATGAACTATCGAACTCTGTTTATATTGTGTATATAGACTGTAAATAACTGTACATATTCTGGGATGTATATACTATGAAGTCTGTAAAATCAATGATTTCATAAGGTTATCATCTATTTACTATAGTGATTCGTATTTTATTACTCATGAATTGGTGTACATAATTGTATAATTAAATTTTTCTTTTTTGCATATACATTAATTGACTCTCAACTCTTTTTTTCATAAATTCATATAATTGAGTGCGGTATTGAACTTATGGATTTAAAGTATCCTAGTCTCAGGGCTCTTTAACACACTTTGTATGTTACTTTCTGTGTATGCCGGTGTTATTGAATCTGTATTATACATCATCATATATTGCCGCTATGAACATACCCACATGCAATATGCTATAATTTTCAATACCATATATGAGTGATGGTTAAACCTGGCTCTGCCTATTTTTCTGGGTTACGTCTCCCATGATGCTCATCAACATAGAAAATAAAGCTGAGACAAATCTCTTTTTCTTGCTAAATATACATACACAAAATGTCTCTTGATTTTAGCTCCACTGAGCTAAACAAACAGGAAGTAACAGAGCTGGTTGACTGATTGACAGCCGGGGGGGGGGAAGGGCAGGTGTAACAATGTTAACTTATAATTGTGATAATTTTTATTGAACTCTGTACATTTTTTAAATGAAAAAAAGAGAACATACGCTTTATACATAGAACCTCAGCGAGATAAAGCTTTTTTAGGTGTAGCAAGTGCCCCTTTAATGTTGTCGCCTAAATATATTGGAAAAAGAAAAAACATTATATATTGCATTATTACATAATGATTACATTATTATAACACATTTTTGTATTTCCTTGACACATCTTGACCCCCATTTGCCCTTGTTGTTTTTTTTTTTATTATTCTACACCAGACTTTTTCCATCATCTATATTTATCCTTTGAATTGCAAGCAGAGGGAGAATTTCTATAGAAATATAAAGTATAGAATGTACTCCATTAAGGACAGTGAAAATGTGGTATTTACTAGCTATGGAGACTGCAAGGTAACATACAGTAGATCTGTTTGGGAAAATCTTGACCTCTTTCAGAAAGATATGCGAGGTTATGTTAAATAAACAAAAACGTAAAGTCTTGCAGTGAAAATGTAATAAATATTAAAAATGATGGACAATTCCTTTTCAAAACTAAGATGCATACATTTAAAAAAAAATAAAATCTTTACAAAGAAGGTGTCAGCTAGTCTGGTTCCAATTATATTTTCTTTAGATCTGAAAAAGAATTTCCAGCATGCAAAAAATACCATTGACATGAGGAATTTCTATATTCATTAATATCACACGTATCATTTATTTTGTAACTAGGATAAATAGTGCATTTTTTTCCATAAGGGGATTAAACAGATTGCTTTCAAGAGTAATGAATTTCCTAGTTATGAACACTTATTCATCATATAATGAAAATCAACAGTATATTTATATTGACAGCAACTATACATTTTTCACAAACATGCCAAAAATATTAAGGCAATGGTGATAGAGAGTTGAAACATTTTTCAATGTATAAGTTTCCCAATTATTTTTTGTTTAAACTATTTTTATGAAGGGTTTCAACAGGGAATCTGTAATTATCCACAGAGGTTAAGATGCAATCAAAAGAAACACACAAACATTTTGAAAAAATAGTAAAAGAAGCACGATGATATATATGAATCTCAATTAAACACTGTAAGGATAAAAGTTTTTTTGTTGGAGAGGGGGCGGGGCCGCCGTAATGGTGACTGAAAGTCTTTTCAGAGAGCTCCTCGTGAATTCTGTGATTCAACCCAAATCTCTGCACCTTCAGCTCTTACCCTGAGGCTGGCTGAGCTGCCTCAGTGCCCAGCAACAACTGACAAGTTTGGGGTTGCTTCATTTGAGGCTGTCCAGACGGCTTATTCAAGTATGAGAACGTGGCCGGGCGAGGGCTGAGGATGGGAGAGGCAGACGATTTTTCGGCCCGGCGTAAGCTACATTTTGGACTCTAGACACCAGAAAGGATCCACTGGTACCTCCTAATTGGCAGTGGGTAATGTGTTTGTGATAACTGACAGGGGACCCCAAGACCCCTAATAACAAGTAAAAAATGTGTGGTAAGCTCTGAATCTCACCACATGCGTTTGCACACTGTGCAAGATGTTTGATAATGCCTGTGAGATATCTCAGTGGACTAATGCATCATCAATAGAATCTCAATTCAACCCTTGAGGATTGCAGGTTCAAATCCCAGCATGGCTGACTCAGCCATTCATCCTTCCAAAGTAGATGAAAGGAGTACTATTAAATTGGGTAATAGTAACATCTCCAGGGTCTACTTGGAAACCAGAGTCTGAATGTCCATTTTTGTGTTATTTGTGAGTGGGACTTTTAACTAGCTTACCTGGGAGGGCCTCTTGGTGGATTATTCATCTTCAGCTATTCTCAGTGCATATACTTTACATGCTTGCTACTCAATCATTATACCTTACCTGCGCTGTGTTCTTCTTGTATCTACTCTATCACTCAAATTGTGCTTATTTTATACACCTTGTCTAATGTGATATGTCATTTCATTGCTGGCTCAACAGAGTATATTGTAGAATCTTTGTTAATGTTAATGGCTCCAAACATTTTTACTTTTTTACAAATTTAATATTTTCAGTTTGCTAAATCATTGTATCCATGGGCAGTTTACAATGAACTAATTGGAGATTTAAAATATTATGTATGTAAAATAAATATATAGTCATAAACAAAAGAGCAACAAATATCTATCTATATATGAAATCACTGAATATTAATCACAAAATAAATATTTTGTATATTTCTACAGTATAAAAAAAATGTTTTAATTTTCCTGACTAGAGAATATTTTGGAGTAAGAATGTATCAACATGGGCCCTTGTCTCCTGCCTGGATGCATTGCTAGGTGGTAGCCCAAAAATACACTTTAAGACTTCTTCTACTCTATATTTGTTTGCTGTTCAGAAATCTGCTTCTTGTACGTTACGTTATGATATACATAAATAATTTGTAATTAGATAACTGAGAAGATAAATGGAAGAGGCTATTAGAAAATCTGATTGTAATGAACTACTGCAAACTTACACACGACTAACAAATAAAATGGTGCTAAAATGAGACCAAGTCCTTTTCAGGAGCCCAAATCAGCCCCCTTAACAGCGCCCCTGGACCTGCTTACTTTTGCTTAATGTTGATAGTGAGATGACGCTGCATTTTTGCAGCAAGTTCCTCTGTCACTGATTGCTTTTTTGGGGGCGGTCAGGTATGTTCTGTAACCAAACAAGTGATCTACTGGTTTGGAAGCTGTTTGCTGCAAGATAGGCTAATCTCAAATATTAGCCCATGCTTTGTTTACCAAATATGTTGGCTTAAAAAAAGAAAAATACACAAGGCAGTACACGGTAAAAACATATTCTAATTGCTTTAATTACACAGAAATATTTATACATTTGGTGGCGCTCTCCCAGAATCGCTCCTGGCCTGCAGTCCATGCTGTTACATCTGATGTGTTCAGTCCAGGATCTCAGTTTCATCCATCTGCTATGCTACTTCACTTCACCAAACCCCCAATTGCCAATTACCATTAGCATTCTCGATAGACAACTTCTCAATGCTGCTAAACTGATCCCAGCTTACAGGAGGCAGTCTGCTTTTCCAACCATTACCCAGTGGCTATCTAATATTGAGGAAATACAGGAAATGGACTCATTCACATCTTACCTGAATGATAGATCTGACATTTTCTCTGCTTTGGCAACCTTGGTTAATGTTAATGTTAATTAAAGCGCTGCAGAATTTGTTGGTGCTATATAAATGATAATAATAATGTCTTATCATACCATGTAAACCATGTGAGCATGCACAATTTGCCACGCCTGACTTTTTGTTCATTTTCTCTTCAATACCTCTCCCCCTTTCCCTCTCATCCCCCTTTTTTATTTTCATCTTTTTCTCTAAATGCTGGTATTCCCCCACCGATAATACCATTTACCGGCCATAACTTGTTGAGCTCTCAATATACAATTTGACTGATGTTTCTGTCTATGGTTCTTTTAACTCTCTCTGTATTTATATATTTTGTGAAAAGTAAAGACATTCATAAAGACGCCCGGAGACATGTACATTTGCCAGGGTTTAATTGAATTTTAAGCATCAATTTAGAGGCATCGCAAGCCTCTTTGCTTGTTTCCCAGAGATGCTATTTGGTGAAGTGATACTCTCCGTGTCACTATACTGACCAGGATCAAACTTTGACACTAATTATCACCCTAGATAACCATAATACTAGCTAACCCTCTCTATCCCTAGCTAGCCATAAGTCTAGGTATCTCTAACCCTAGCTTACCCCAGCTAACCCTTGCTAACCCTAAATCTAGCTAATCATAACTATCCCTAATCCTATCTAACCCTAACTAGCCCTATCACACTAACCCTATTAAACTGGCCCTATTAAACTGTTGACTATTGAGCTAGCCCAACAATAGCTCAGTACGGCCAAGCAGCAAGAGTTGGAACCGAAAATGAATGATGAGACACCCTTGGGAAATGTGTTCCTTGCTGTATCAAGCCTGTGGAGATATAACCAGATACATGTCCATCTGACTCTGACTACTACCAATGACTTTTATATGAAAAGTGAATCCATTCATCTTGGCACTTGCTAAGGCAATGGAAATGTTGGGGTAACCCGAAGAGGGCAATTGTTGGATACATTCACTAGAGAAATTGGTAAGACCCAAAATTATAGGAAATTAAAAATGACCGGTCTACTCTGTATATTTTTATAATGGAACAAGGCATTGCATGTTATTATAGTTATCTATCCCACCAAAAATGGTTTTGAGGAATCACATTTACCAGGTCCATCCTCATTAGTAAAAGGTCTTCTGGTTTCACCATTGTTTATTACCAACTCAATGTGGTGCATATCTCGACTCATATAAACTCTCTAACGAGTGACTAGGTCAGTACAATACATTCATTGTAATAACTGGTTAGGCAGGCTTTCTCTCAGTACATGACATCCTTATCCTTACACAATATGGAAAATTGTTCTAGAACAATGCTCTACATAGGTATTGTCCTGGGACCTCCAGCTGCCTACAGAAAGAAAGAAAAATAAATGGTGTAAATCACTGTATAGATGTGCAACAGACTTTTCTCATTTTTCATCAGAATATTTTCTAACTGGCAATGGTTTAAACATAAATTACCAAAGGGATAGTGGGTTTGTTTTGTGTGGAAACAGTCTATTCATCACTTTGACAGAAACAAAAGACAGAATATGGCTACATTAATATAACGTAAATACTCAGAATGATTCATACCGAGATATAACTAGAAAAAGATTGAAAGGATAAAGTAAATATCATCAGAAATGACAGATTATTTCAGGTTTCAGACACTCTATATGGATTAAAACCCTATAAAAAAAATATATATTTCACAAAGTTTATTTTGGATTTTTTTTTTTTTAAAGATAAACTGAACGTACATAGTTAAAAAGAATTGTTCTAGATTGTATGAGGCAGGATTACGTTAAAAAACTATGATATGTCAAAAACCATTCTCAATTTATGTATATAAAGAAGTAAATGACAGATAAAATGTGTATCTTGTTATACCTTTTTTATTGGACTAACAGAATTTTTTAATGAAAAATACTAGAGACTATTTCAAACAAAATAGAGGTTTAGTATATCTTTATGATCTGTGTAAAATCATACTGTTGAAATTGTACAACTTCTACTCATTTTACGAAATAACTATAGACAAGGCACTTAATATAATATATAGATATGTGAATATGGATTCCTAAAGCTATACTGCCCTAGTAACCATTTAGGTGACCAGGCCCCCACTGCAAGGGTTAAAAAGTTGAGTTTACGTACCTTTTCTCCCTTGTAGTGCCACTTTGCCTCGATGACCTCAGCCAATCCAATGCTTTCCCATATGAAAGAATTGGGAGGTTGGAGAGCATGCGCGGCAAAATGCTGTACAGCATCAATCATAACTGTCTACCTGCTTGCTGCTCGATGCTACCATGTGGCACTGACATTGTGGCATGGCAGAGATCAAATAGCGTATGAAAGTTACCTAAATGAATACCTCTAACCACTGAGTCTGATGCTAACACTTAACCCTATCCCCAACCCTAACATCTGATAAGATATACTAATCATTCTGACACCTCAGTCAAACAGATTTAGGCCTTGATTTCGTTTTCTTGGATAAACATTTATTTTTTATTCTTTATTTTTGTTGCGCAGGTGAGTACAAAAACATTGACAAACGCCACAACAGCGTACATGCATATATAAACAGGCTAAACAGTGGCATAGATAATTGCACATTTTTTGTTTTTGCGTACAGGCTTAACAAATTTATGCTAGCTACAGAAAAATGTAATCTGGTATAGCAAGAGGTCAATTATCATAAAATCTGGTTGAGATTGAGATGTAGGCATCAGATACGAAACTTGGATAAACTTTTAAAATGATATTTTTTCAAAATATTAGAACATTAAAAAAAATCATATATATATAAAAAAATATCCAATTAGGTTATGGTGGGGAAAAATTGTGATTGAAAACCCCTTCCTCCTGAAGTCTGTGGATAGTTAATACAATTTTAAACAAAAATCTGCACACCAGTCAAGCCATAAGACTTGCTTTTCCCACAGAAATCCCAAATCTGCAGTGATGTTAAAACCGCAAAGGATTCTGGGTGGGCATATGCAAATTAGTTTAACAAAGAATCAAATTTTTGCCTCATTCAATTTTAAACATGGATTCCTTTTAATCTGTGTTTGCAGTATACAACTGCTTGGAACACAATTTAGGAAAAGATGCAAAACCAGTGAACCACTCATGGACAGCTGTTTCGTTGTTAATGCAAGTCTTCAGCATGAGGTTGGTTACTGGTTTGCTTATTGAGGCTTGGTAGTGCTTGGGAAGCAAAATCCAATTAGGTTATGGTGGGGAAAAATTGTGATTGAAAACCCCTTCCACCTGAAGTCTGTGGATAGTTAATACAATTTTAAACAAAAATCTGCACACCAGTCAAGCCATAAGACTTGCTTTTCCCACAGAAATCCCAAATCTGCAGTGATGTTACAACCACAAAGGATTCTGGGTGGGCATGTGCAAATTAGTTTAACAAAGAATCACATTTTTGCCTCATTCCATTTTAAACATGGATTCCTTTTAATCTGTGTTTGCAGTATACAACTGCTTGGAACACAATTTAGGAAAAGATGCAAAACCAGTGAACCACTCATGGACAGCTGTTTCATTGTTAATGCAAGTCTTCAGCATGAGGTTGGTTACTGGTTTGCTTATTGAGGCTTGGTAGTGCTTGGGAAGCAAAATCCAATTAGGTTATGGTGGGGAAAAATTGTGATTGAAAACTCCTTCCACCTGAAGTCTGTGGATAGTTAATACAATTTTAAACAAAAATCTGCACACCAGTCAAGCCATAAGACTTGCTTTTCCCACAGAAATCCCAAATCTGCAGTGATGTTAAAACCGGTTTTGCATCTTTTCCTAAATTGTGTTCCAAGCAGTTGTATACTGCAAACACAGATTAAAAGGAATCCATGTTTAAAATTGAATGAGGCAAAAATTTGATTCTTTGTTAAACTAATTTGCATATGCCCACCCAGAATCCTTTGCGGTTTTAACATCACTGCAGATTTGGGATTTCTGTGGGAAAAGCAAGTCTTATGGCTTGACTGGTGTGCAGATTTTTGTTTAAAATTGTATTAACTAAAAAAATATCAATATATAAAAGTTATTAAAATATTAAATAATGTTTAAAGTTTATCCAAAAATATTAAATCATCTGGAAAGCTTATTCAAAAATATTAAATTGAGATCTTAAGAAGACACAACTTACTTCCATTTTAACATTACAGCATGGCATGTGTGGCAGACTATAGTGTAATATGCTTCATGTTTTAGCACACTGGTATCTTTTGCTGTATAATAAGTTATTCTCAAGTCTTTTTTAGGGAGGATTGTTAGTTTGAACCATCTTCTTCAACATGTATGTTATACCTAATAAATTATCGTTCTTTAAGATGTAATACACAAAAATCGTGTCCATAATCTATACGTCACACAATGTAATATACTTAGTTATAGTTTCTGTCATTTTCTTAGAGCTATAAAGAGCGAGACATAATTTAATTTTCACTTGTGATTAGTACTTTGCTCAAAAAAACATTCTTTAATAGATACAGCAAGATAGTATAAAGAATACCTTGCTACATGAATTTCTTTTTTCGGCATAATTTACTCTCCATAGGTAATTAAACAATTTTTTTTCAGACAAACTAGGAAATAATTGTTTAATTTATTTTTGAGTAATTTAATTATGCTTATATTGCTTTCTCTCTTTAAAAGGGAAACGGCCATGATTTGTATAACAATTTATTTACAATCTATCTTCTCAGATTAAATTGATTGATTTAGTTAAAACACTGCATTTGGTATTTTGTATTTGAAAAGTAGTCTCCTTTTTATAAAGCGTATGCTAAAAAAACCAGAAAGCTATTCTAGAGGCAATCGGTAAACAAAATGTACAAAGTCTTTGCAAACAGCTGGCATTTTTACAAGTTTAAATATTTAAAAGTGTGCTGTCTAAAATCACAGTTTATATCTCCTTCTGTGTTAATTGAACTTTTATCACACATGAGGCTGTTGCAGCTACTAGCAGGCTATTAGTAGAGCAGGAGATACATTCTAAAATAAAAACACTGTACAACAAGCATGTCAAACCTGCGGCCCACAATGACTATCTTTGTGGCCCACCTACCCTCGGGCCGTTTTGTGCTGAGGCTGCGACCAGTCGCAAGACAGGAAAGATATTTCCTGACTAATTCTTGTCTTTCCTCCAATGGCCGATTGCGTGCTCCCACGGCCGCAAGAGCGCAGAGTGGCCGGCTGTCTGCAGAGCAGGCCAGCCACTCCCCCTTCCTTCCTGCTCGCAGTGCCAGAGGGGTGTCTAGCCTTCTTGAACAAAGAAGAGCAGGGCTGGAACTGGAGGACGGGCGGCTCATCTTACGATAGGAGAAGAGGGGCTTGGGGGACCTTTCTGTATAGTGTGTTAATTTAGGGGAGGAAAGGGGCCAGTGTATTAAATTGGGGTGGGGGAGAATGTATTAATTTGAAGGAGGGGACCACTGTATTAAATTGGGAAGGGAGGGCAGTGTGTTAAATTGAGGGAAGGGCAGTGCATTAAATTGGAGAAAGAAGGGGTCAGTGTATTAGAGTGGTAAAAGAGGGGGAAGTGTGTTAGAGTGGTGGGAAAGTACAGTTTGTTAAATTAGGGAGAGACAGTGTATTAGAGTGGTGGGAGGTGGGGGCGGTGTGTTAAATTGAGGGGAGGGCAGTGTATTAATTTGGGGATGAGAGGGGCAGTGTATTAAATTGGAGGAAGGAGGGGGTGGTGTATTAGAGTGGTGGGAAAAGGCAGTGTGTTAAATTAGGGGAGGCAGGCAATGTATTAGAATGGTGGGAGTGGGGTGCCGTGTGCAAAATTGGGGTGAGGACAGTGTATTATATTGGGGGAGGGAGGGAGCAGTGTATCAAATGGGGGAGGGCAGTATATTCAATTAGAGTGAAGGGAGGAGGGGCAGTGCATTAGATTAAGAAGCAGTGTATTAGATTGGGTTGAAAGGCAGTGTATTAGAGTGGAGAGAGGGGGTCAGTGTATTGGATTTGCGGGCAGTTTATTAGAATGGTGGGAGGGGATAGTGTATTAGAGTGGAGGGAGGGGGGCAGTGTATTGGATTTTGGGGCAATGTATTGGATTTGTGTGCAGTGTATTAGAATGGGGGGGGGGGGGCAGTGTATTAGAATGGGGGAGAGGGCAGTGCATTAGAATGGGGGGAGGGAGCAGTGTATTAGAATGGGGGGAGGGGGCAGTGTATTAGATTGGGTCTGCATGGAACGCTCCACATGGAGATGCTGATTGTGCACATGCACAATAGCCTCTCAATGCTTTCCTATGGAAAACATTGGATTGGCTGAGATCATCAAGCTTGATGATCTCCGCCAAAGTAAAGAACATACTCATAGGATTTCAAAATCAACAAGATAACGTAATTTGTTTTTTACAGCTGTGCAACAGCATACATTCACCAATTCAGTTCAATACCAGATTTTTCCTAATATGTCAAGGTAGTTGGACTGAAATGTTGTTTATATGCAAATGCACGTCTCCTTAAAATAAATTAGCTCTTCTGTTTAATTTGAAGTCCTATGAGCGTGAAGACGTCCAGTGTCAAGCAACTTTTTTTTGCACTGTACTTTTCAAAATAAACCTACGTTTCTATGAAAACTGAAGTTTGTTTTTTTGCGGCCTACTTAAACCTTGTTTATTTGGCCCGTGTTAGCCTTGAATCTGACATGCTTGCTGTACAATAAGGAAATCTAAAAAACATTTTTGACGAAGTGTGCTACGGCAGCAATAGGGATTTACCTCCTAAATGGAAGCGATCCGAGCACTGAGACTGCAGGGGCATTATCTATACCCTAAAACTGCTTCATTAAGCCAAAGTTGTTTTGCTGCTTAGAGTATCCTTTCAACTGCTATGGATTTCCATGATTCTTTGTCAATTCAATTAAAGTAATTTTGCCTTCCATAACATTTGTGGATACTCCAAGTAAAGCAAGGCTTTTATCACTCTTTTTAGGTCAATCTGATTTTCAACCAATCTTCACAGATCAGATGAAAAGTTAGGCCTTTGAATATAGTCATTGAACTAAAATAGGTGAGTATAGAATATATTTCATACTCAGTGACATTTTTCCAATTTACATATTTTGATGTAGATTTTCCTATATGTTGGTTGTCAAATCTCCACAACAGTTTGCTGACTAAACTCCCCAAACAGACAATACACAGCCACTTTATAATCAAGGGGACTTTAACAATTTCTTATTGAAACAGAAAAGTTAAAATTAGTATACAATTGGTAAGAAAGCATGATTCAGTGTGCTGTTTAATATCACTGGCTCAATACACAACATTAAATGAAGCACTTTGTACAAACATTTACTTTCAGCAGTGAAGTCAGTAATTATACCCAAATAACTTTGGACAAATCCCTTTATTCTGTTTAATGAGCTATGGCTCATTGAAAAACTGTTATAAATAAATGATTAAATATGTCTGCTCATTCACACCATATTAACTAGTACAACAAACAATGGCTGTTTCTTTTTATTTCCACAATGTCTCCAGTTTATTTCACGGGATAAAAAAAGCCTGTAGCTAAATTCTATATCGTAAGAGCAAAAAAAAAAAAAATAATAAAAAAAAATATATATATTTTTTTTTTTTACATGCCTTCTAGATAATAGAAATCAAATATTTTCGTTATTGCTTTACAGTACAGAAAGTGTCCAGGACGATTTCGTAGCAGCTGTATTAAATTGAAGAGTAATTTGATCCAGCAGAGGGACATGTTATTTAGCCGTATATAATAGCTACTGGTCCCTAGTTTAAAGTTATATTTCTACATTTCTCTGTCTGTAGAAATAAATTGCTCAACTGCAAATTATTAAAGTAATAACATGTGGCGATTGAAAATAGTCATCTGATAATGCCTGGAAATTGGGATATTACTGCAGTGACTGGATTCATTTCAAGAATTATCATACAACAAAGACTGCACTGTAAGAGAGCATTTGATTTTACAGTACCATCCAATTCATGTTTTTTTCATTTCACACTACACATTCAGGGGTATATTACATACCATCCAATGCTCATGTCTCAATAAACTTAGAGCATTTTATAGTTTTATAGTTATTATTCCTTTATTATGTTTCTCAATTTTTAGCTATAAATGTTTTATTTTATTTTCAAATATTTACACAGCAACAACTACAACGACACAATAAGATATTTGGATAAACAGTGCAATCTGGACTGAGATGGTCGGTAGAAAAAGGATACTACTAGTAAAAAAAAAGAAGAATGGAAAGAAAGGGCATAAAAAATTAAGATAAATAATATTTTGACTAGACATAGGCAGGATTATGCGATAGATGAAATCGGTCCATCAAGACTTAGTCCTACAACCACCTTTTTGATTATGTTCATTGTTATTTTGGAGCTGTCCCTTGTTTTTTTAAGTTAGTATATAGAAACAGGGGCTTACTTAACACCCATAGTCCATTCTGTCTATACCTGGAAGGCAAAAAGAGTCTGCCAGCAGTTGGTTAAGACCTAAACTCTCTCGGCCAATTATTGCTATCCGGGTTCGATGGATTCCCATTTGATTATGGTGAATTGAAGTTGTCGTTATAAGTGAGCTTGAAGAGCAAAAGAGTCATTGTATTTTCCAAATTATTCCAAATCTGAGCCCATAATAAGCTGCACTGAGTATAGAATGGATGTTTTTATTGCTGAAGTAGTATGTAGGATTAAGTATGTAAAGGGACACTATAGTCACCAAACAACTTGAGCTTAATTAAGCAGTTTTAGTGTATAGATCCTGCCTCTGCAGTCTAACTGCTCGATTATCTGCCATTTAGGGGTTAAGTCACTTTGTTTATGCAGCCATAGTTATATCTTTCTCATCAAAAATATTGTTATTAAAATATTTTGACAATTATATTCTAGGGTAGGACTAAAGGGCCCCAACCTCATGAAAAGTCACCACTGCTCAAAGTAAAAAAAAAAAAAAATAAATAAATAAATAAATATATATATATATATATATATATATATATATATATATATATATAATGATTATATCTATTGCCTAATTGTTATGAAGAATGCAACATTCCATAAAAAATTCAACAACAACTAAAATATAGAAACAGAGATATATCATTTAGAAGCATGGCGTTCAGGGGACGGCTGGCAAAGTTTGACCTGGAGGCAAATACAAATGAATTACTTTTCTTTTACACAGAAAACTCATAATTCTCTGTGTGGCCCATCCTACTCACACAGAGCATGCAATATATGGGTCTGACAGATGGAGCTTGCTGGAGCTGAGAGATGTAACATTATATATCTCTACAACCTCCACCAGTATGACCTGAGCAACATGAGGAAACCTTTAAAAAGATCAGAGCACATACTCTGTTTCCTGCAAATCCATTGCTACTGAAGACATCGGGCATATGTGATAACTATATTGAGTGCTGTCACATTCTGGCAGCCTGGTCAACACCACATACTACAGTCCACTGGGTCCAAATGGATTGTTTGCCACCAACCTAAGCTGGTATAAACAAATACTCTCTCACTTTTTTTTAATTAGGGGATGAATACTGGCGTGATTCTGCAGTCCACAATCCCTGTATGCTAGTGGCCTTTGGGGAAATTGCCCCTTGCCAGCACTTACCTGATGAGGTTCTTAACAAATACATATATATATGCAGTGTAAGTTCAGGATAGAGGGGTGGGGTAAATATGCCTATGCCATGAGCTCCTGAAGGAGTCTGCTAGCTAGCCTCCTGCCCAAGGACTATGGGCCATGTAACCGACCCTTAAAATACTTGGTTTGTGTGTTTTCCCTTTTCAGTTTGGGAACCGAACAAACTCATGAATTATGGAACACCTCTGGGCTTGTTAACTCCTATTAACTTCTCCTTTCACCTCCAACATCTTTCACACTTTGTATCCAAAGTGTTCAGCTGGGTGGCCGCCATTCGTATGCACGAACATGTGGGATATGAGTTGGCGGCCATCTTGTTGCACGAACGCAGGCTGAAGTGCTGATGGTGTCCCCGTAATAGCTAGGGAGTGTACTTGGCAGAGGTACCCAGTTGGGGTACCAGCCGGTCCGCCACAAAGGAGTATTTGCAAAATCAGCAGCATAGGGAAACCGGTAACAATTGTAGCAGGGACCCAATTTCAGTACTGTCCCAGTGATGGGATAAAATACAGGGATTCAAGGGGCGGAGCCTGGACTGCAAGCAGGCAAGGCGGACATCACACGAGCTCCTGCTGTTAATGCCGAATACCCGGTGATATCCTGGGCTGACAACCTGGTGACGTCTACTCAAGAGGATTCCCAAGCTGGGGGCACCTAACCCTACAGGTGGATACCTTAATCGATGCCCTGAGGCAACAGGAACCGCAGCGGCAGGTTGAGGCCTACTGGACTCAGACCGAGGGAGAGACGGCTGCTCTCCTTCCGCTGAATAAAGCTAAGTTAAGCACGACTCCACCCCCCCCCCCTGGACCGGCGGGGGATATCCCGGTCCCCCCCTGGAGAGCAGTTAGCTGCAACAACGTTACCCCTGCAGCAGATCGCACAGACATCCATATTCCCACAATGGCGGACGCAGCCCGTGCGACAACACGTGACACAGATGCAACAGAGGAGACACTCAGCAACGCCTATACCTACACATCGAGGCGGCTGGATCAAATCTTCCAGGCCTTTTGGCTTAAGGTACAAGCCCGTCTGCAAACCACTGCTCACTGCTCAGTGCCACGGAAGGGAACCAGGAGAATGAAGCACTCCAGCATGGTAAAGCCTCCTCAGGGCACCAAATATAAAACAACGCTCCCGAGACCTCACTACCGCTCTCCCAGACGGAGAGCCAGATGAGGCAAGTCCTCCAAGCATCGTCACGCACCAGCTGAGACAAATCCTCACTACCTCCGCCACCACTGAGATGGGGAAAGACTTGGTCCCTCGACGAATCCAAGTCTGTGGTTCACAGATGGCTGGGGCCGAGAAGACAACACGCCTCACAGTGCCACCAACTCCAGTGATCCAGCTACCCTACCACCTGACGGAATCGGCTAAGCTAGCTTATGGGACTGACACCGGGCTGGACTTTCTCCTTAACGACCTGAGATGCTATTTTTGTCTTTAAATGCCATGCACAAAATCTTGAGTATTAAGTTCTTTTTATAATTAGCTTATCATTTCTGCTATCTCTCCTCACGCTGTCTAATGACACTGCAGCACGGCGTACTACTAATAATGCACCCAGGGGTGCACTAACTCGATAGCATGTTTACTTACAGTTACACTTGTATATATTAACATGTCTAGCTAGAAGTCTTGGCTCTCAACAATTAACGAGCATAACAAATATGATATAGTGTACTAGGCCCTCCTTGCATTACTCTCGTAGTTAGACATGACGGTATAGCTTGAGGCCATCTTGTTTCTGTAACATCATAAAATGGTAGTCATATTTAGTAGATAGGGGTGTCTACGAGTATCCATGCATTTGATTAAATGTCGTGACCCCCTTGTGCAGGTCATGATTAAACATTGTGTTACGCTTCTACAAAAGCCTGTACACCCACTAATCCCATTATTAAAATACGAGCATGCATACGTAGACTAACTACACTATTAAAGTCCTACTCAAGTATTTCTAGCCTGTTTTCTCTCATAAATATAAAAAATGTGCTGTATTACTCTGCTATGACAATGTTTGCTATTGAAATGCCTGTACTAGCTGTCGTGGCGCTACAGGCCTATCTGTTATGTTTTCTTATTTAAAAAAAATACAGGGATTCAAAAAACCTTATAAAATAATATTTAAAAAAACAAATATACAAAATGTGTACAGTGTTTAAACATATTGTTATTGCAGAAGGAAATAAATTAGATTATGGTATATCATCTCTTTCCCAAGTAAACTACACAAATGCACACAACCATCCACTTAATATAAAAGAAAAGTGATTCATCAGACTTGGAAACTTTCTTCCATTGCTCCATGGTCCAGTTCTGACACTCATGACCCCATTGAATGTGTTTTCAGAGGTGGCAGGGGTCCTCATGGGCACTCTGACTGGTGTGCGTCTATCAAGACGCATACACAGCAAACTGTGATGCACTGTGTGTTCTGACACATGTGAAGGCTTGGCCTGCAGTTGTGGGAGGGGCATGTTAACCTACTTAAACCCCTTCCTCAGTCCCGTTCGTTTTTTGACGATTCGCATGTCGGGTCGTCCTTCCTCTCCTTTCCTGTTACTCGTGGCTCGCTCCAAACCTTGGGTCTCCATATTTGCGGGTCATTTCTTGGGTCTCTTGGGGGGGAGCCGGCTCTGCTGCGGTGCTACTCGTCTCCACTGGCGGCTCGGCTTGTCGCGCCTCTCTCTCCGGCGTTCTTGGCGTCTGCACTCACCGACGGTCACACGTCCATGCGGCCACGCAAGCGTGTGTCGGGTGCAGTGTTGGGTGAGGTAGGATGCTTATGCATAGCTCATCTGTATATGAAGGGTCCTTGCATCAGATTTAGGCTAGCCCTGCCAGGCAAATTATCTCTGGCCTTAGGGCTTGAAGTTGCTGGTAGCAGGGTGGGATAACTATCAGTGTATGTGAATTGTTACCTGCTTTCTCCTATGCTATTCCCAGCTCACTGGTTACCTTACTGCAGGAGTCAGAGTTTACCTTGGGGAAAGCAGACAGGCTTGCTATTTATGCAGATATCTGGGCTGTTTCTAATTGCATGTATGTTGTTTTTGTGTGCTATCTGGTTGTGAGTCTTTCTTGTCTTACTAGCAGGCGGGCGAGTCTCATTCAGTCCTAACGAAGCCCAGGGAGGGGATGGGGGTTCTGAGGCCACGCTGGCTCTGCACGTTTGTTAACCCATTATACATATCAATGCTCCCAAGCAGCACAGCTCCCTAGTGAGCTTCCCCTTACACCTACTGAACACGTAGTACACCTCTCAGGGACGTTTACCTGGGTGTCTTTACATGTAGGTTTTCTATGTGAGGTGAGTTTTGGGGGCACAGGGTGTACCTAGAACCTCTGAAGGTGCTGATCTAGGGTTCCGCTACATGGCGTCTTCCGCTGGTTCAATTGCTATGTCTTTGGCCGTTTTTGACATAAATAAAAACAATTCCTGTATTGAACTTTTATTTCTTTTTGTCTTGGTGTTGCTATCACTGTTCCAGATCCTGTATCTTGATTGGTTCAGCTGCTGCATATCAATACCACCCAGTGTGGAAACAAGCTGCTTTTATTCTGATACATTGTAAGTGCAATACATGTAATAAATTGTTACTTTTTATACAATCTGCACTATCTATTTTCCTCTTTCTATTTGGAGTGAATTAGAAGATTTGCTGTTCACATATATTTGGATTCATCGCTGGAGGTCCTTCATAATTTCCAGTCCCTTAATACAGAGGGAGATATGCCTGATTTCATCTTACCCTTGTAAGTTTTCTACCACCCATATTCTCAAGTGGTCTCTAACAATATTACACTATATATTGTTTGTATATCTCTCTACAGATACATTTTGCATTTAAATATCTCAACATATATTCAGTTTGTATTCATTTACATATTATCACTTTTTGGTGATTCACATTACTTTGTATTTCTGTTTTTTTTTTTCCTTTTTCTTGTCACTGTTGTTTTTTGAGTGTTTATAAGGGAACACTTTTAAACCTAGGGTACTGTGTGCATTATAGCACTGACGGTTAACTGCTTGCTTTTCCTTCTGTGCTTCCATATCAGCCTGTACACCTGGTCTCCGTCAGGCTCACGCTTCTTCCTCGTTCCCCGCCCCCTCTTCTTTTTCTTTCACACAGTATGTCCCCTCTCTCACTCTTTGCCCTCCCCTCTTAGTTAGCTGTTGCTGGCTGTCAGGGTCCTAGGTGTCCACTAGCTGTAATTCCCCTGGCTTCTTTGCCTAGGTTAGTGGTCCCGCGAGGCCAACACCCATCCTCGCACTCTGAGGTACTACACCCCTCGGGCCAACTCATAGTTAGTCGCCTCGCACTGTGGCATAGAGAGGGCCTCACCTGTCACTCCCACTCTATCTTTTGTTTAACTGTCACCGAGAGGCCGACACCCCGCCACAATGTTCAGTGGCCACGCTATCCCCTCGCGCCAACGCATAGATAGAGCCTCTCATGCCGCTTGGCATCTAGCAGGGCCTCACCTGTCACCAAACCTAGTTTAATTGTTTCGCCTTTTTGGCTTAGCTAGTATGCCAGTGCTCACGCTCACACACACACGCACACACTCGCACTGGGTCTCGTGACTCCCATAGGGTTTACACCACCACAGTTTCTGTTACCTACTGCTGAGCTTGCTCCTTTCAGCCTGTCCGCCCGGACTCTGTCGTGCTTACTCTGATTTCGGTTATGGTCGGCACTACGGTTTTCCTCGTTCGCCCTCACAGGTTCCAATACACGTTTCAGCACATCTGTCCTCTCACACTGCCTTCCCTCCCCTCTTAGTTAGCTGTGGCTGGCTGTCAGGGTCCTAGGTGTCCACTAGTTTGTAATTCCCCCTGGCTTCTTCGCCTTTTGGCATTAGCTAGTATGCCAGCTTGCACTCATACACTCTTTCACGCTCACACGCATGTTGGGTCGCTTATGCGGGGTCTTCTTCGTCTCTTTTCTAGCAGGTCTGGATCTGGTTCTCATCGCCCTGTGGAGTTTTGGCTATGCCTACCTTTTTTTTTTCAGGTCCTGGGCGCTTCCTCGATTCGCTGCGGTTCTCACGAGTCGGTTTTTCTCCCCCCCCCCCCATGGCAGCCTTCCGGTCAGCTGTTCTCTCAGTGTCTGTCCACCTACATGGGTTTCGCCGCTGTCGGCTATGGGGCAGTGTCGGATGGCAGTTTGGGTAACTGGCATCTGCCGCTTTGGCTGGATCCGAACCGGTCTTCCCGCACCTCTTTCATACGATCAGTCCTGTGCCTCCTTTACGCTTTCTTATGTGGCCCTGTCTATGGCCTCTCCCGCAGCTGCTTCCATTCCCAGCTTTTCTGGGCTTGTTCGTAGGCTGCCAGCCTTGAAAGCTCGTGGTTGCCATCTTTCACGTCTGGCTCTCATCTTTCTAGCACTCGCAATGCCTGTGTTTTCGGACCTTCTTCCCCTTCGAGGCTCCTGTCTCACATATCACGTGTACTGTCTCTGTTGATATGTTGTCCGCGATTGACTTTCGCTTCTTTTGCCACCTCTTACTTGCATCAACTCTACCTATCCGGTCTATATCTTCACATGTTGTACAGGTTTCTAGTCACATGCATTTTCATGTCGTCATACCAGTTTATTACCATACTCAAGGGTTCAGGTTATGGGAATGTTAAATCTCCAGATTTCCCATCTATAGCCAAGTTTTATAATCACTATCAGACCTATTTAATACTTGTCATCACAACCGGCATCAACTTTCAATGTGGGGCGATATCTGCTTGATCCAAAGATAAATCCGACTGCCATTATGGGGTCAAGAAGGAATTTTTTTCCCTAGCTTGTTGCAAATTGGAAAGCGCATGAAACTTGGTTTTTCACCTTCTTTTGGATCAACAGTTTAATCACAGATGTGAGGTAGGCCGGATTTGGGGGACGCTAGTCTTTTCAGCTAGGTTACTAGGTAGTCTAGTTGTCAAGCCGCTATACAGTGTCTCGTGGACACACATATCTCCCACAGTCACAACTTTTTTGCAGCATTGTCTGGAAATCTCACCTATTTATGCAGTCTATTGATTACCTTCTCTGCCCCACACCCAGTCTACACAAGATGGCCAACATGTTTCCTTACTTACCCTTACACAAGTTAGAGGGCCGTTGAAACCACCGGGCGCCTCATTACTCACTCAGCTGTTACCATACAGATAGGCTATTTAAGGTTGTTAATTGCTTTTAAACATGTTTTCTTTTTGCCCTCTTTTATTACAGGCCTACCACGACGTCGGTTCCGGCACACCACAACCGACTTATTCCCCCCCCCTTTTTATTTCCTTTACGGCCTTATTTGCCCCTCAGACAAATGTGAAGGCTTGGCCTGCAGTTGTGGGAGGGGCATGTTAACCTACTTAAACCCCCTCCTCACCTTCCTCAGTCCAGTTTGTTTTTTGACGATTCGCATATCCCCACCCTCCACTCCCTTTATTTATACTTTTCATTACACCTCATGGGTGGGCCCTCTTTTATTACAGGCCTACCACGACGTCGGTTCCGGCACACCACAACCGACTTATTCCCCCCCCCCCCTTTTTATTACCTTTACGGCCTTATTTGCCCCTCACACAACTTCTTATCATGGCCAGCATTCCGATTTTCAGCAGTATGAGTTACAGTAGCCCTTCTGTGTGATCGGACCAGATGGAATAGTTTTCGCTCCCTACATGCATCAATGAGTCTGTGCACTGGTTGTCCTTCCTTGCTTCCTTCCACTTTTGTTAGATACTAACCATGGCATAACAGAACACTTTAAAAGACTTGCCATTTTGGAGTTGCTCTGATCCAGTTGGCTAACCATCACTATTTGTCCCTTGTCAATGTCCCTCAGATCTTTTTACTTTTTTCCTGCTTTTTTTCCTGCTTCCAACACATGAAATTCAAGAACTGACTGTTTATTTGCAGCCTAATATATCCCACCCCTTGTCAGATGCCATTGCAATGATATAATTCATGTTAATCAATTCAAATGTCAGTGGTTGTTGCTGATCAATGTATATACTAAAGTAAAAATAGTGTAAAAAAACAGCTAATAAGCCACAACTCATTAGCACAAAAAGACAAGCATGCTCACATTCCGAGAACAAGGTGAAAAAGCTCTGGTAAAGATGAGTTTCATCACAAAAATACGGGGTTTGTACAGTATGTGTATTTTCTTTATGTAATCTTATGACAGTTTATGAAGTCATTGATATAAATGTTATAAGGGTAATTTGTTAATTTTTTTATTGTTTTAATAAGTGCTGACATATTTCTAGTGATTTGTGGGGTTTTCAAATTAAAAATAAATAAATCCATATATATATTTGAAATCAGCTACAATCACAGATTTGGCTACTACAATATACAAATGGAGGTAAAAGCTTACTAAAGAGAAACTAAGTTAATAATTACTTTATTATTACTTTTATTTGTTCATGACACATTTCTTTAACTGAGAGTCACCATGAATTGAAAGAATGATGGATTAAAATATGAATGCTATAGTATTTTAATTTTGAAATCTTGCATAGTATCCTCAATATTAATATCCATGCAAAATCTACCATAACATACACAATGTATGCTACATTTGTTAGTAGCTAATTAGGATTTCCTAACTTACTGGTAACAGACATATTAAGTATCTGCTGGAACTATTTTCATATTTTTACTATGCTCTTATTAAACCATCTATTGAAATACCCACCTCCTGACTGCAGCTAGTTTCCCGATTCCTGACATATGGATGCAACTGCTTGTGGCCACATGAGCAGTGTTGAGGAGATTCGCCAGGTGGAGGGGAAGGTTGCAGCACTATTGGGCAGAACAAAAAAGTACATCACTGTTTGGAGTTCATGGTTATCCTTCCTTAGCGGTTAGATGTATGGACCCTATTCTTCCCTCTGTTATTTTGGAGGCTTCGAGGGTTTGCTTGTGAGCTTCGGATGCTATATAGTCATGTTGTTGGCGGGTGCTTATAAGATGGATGAAATCACTTCCACTCTTTTTTTCTTCTCTCTCTCCCTCTCTCATACTTCCTCTTTCCCTTTCCACTTACATCTCTTTGTTTTATGTATTATATGTCTTTTATACTGTTTCTGTCCCACTTCTGGGAATTATGTTCTTAGACCTTTGGTTTCTGACAAGATATATTCCAACAGGTGATAATCTACGAGTGGGATTTTGACAGCTTGTTTGCTTACTATGAATAAGCCAAATATATGCCAATTCTGTTATCTCTGATCCTCTCTAGTTTCACGAACAGCACATGTAAACCCTGTTGAGTTTTTATACACTTATGTGATATTTGTAACTGCAAAATTCATTACTCATAATTTTTGTCATCTTATACATTATTGTTCTATAACTCTTTTATTTATTTTTTTATTTTGGTGCTCCAAAACCTTAAATAAAGATTTAAAAAAACAAAAACAAATTAATTGAAGTACCATAATAATATGTTTATACTGACAGTTAGCAAATGCCACATAAACACAATAGACATGTTAAAAGCAAGACAGAATGTCTAGGGTACAAAAAAAACTAAAATATCTTGGTGGCTACTAATTTATCCTGGGGTGATAAAGTATTAGAGACAATGACTTTAGGGTACCATAGACTTTCTGTACCTGTTTCTTTCAATCATGACTTCATTTTAATATTGTTGCATGCATTCTTTTTAATTATTTTATATTTTGGATACTCTTTTAAATATGTTATGTTTCTATTTATGCAGCTCTAGCCATACATCCCCTTGCTGTGAATCACACAGTCTACATGAAAAAAGGCTTCATCTTCAATCAGATCTTACAGCATAGTGTCTTTACTTTAGAAGTTTTTGTCTCCTGCTCTGTCAATTGAAATTTAATCGCACACAGCAGGCTCTAGCAGGCTATTAACAGAGAAAGGTATAAACAGACTGTGCAATAAATGAATATTAAAAAGTAGATCTCTCTTTACAGGAAATGTGTAAAGAGACAGTGTGAGTCACAGCCAGAGAGCTATGGCTAATGCTGCATAAATTAAATGATTTAACTCCTAAGTGGCAGATAATTGAGCACTTAGATTGTAGGGGTGTGATCTATACACCAAAACCACTACATTAAGCTAAAATAGTTTGGATGCTTATAGTGTCCCTTTAAATGTCAACTCGCCTGTGTTGAGCCTGTCAGCATATTGTCAGGCAAAAGATGCATTTCTTTTATTTATGATATATTTTTTTTTTTTTTATTGAAAAGAGAGATGTGATACAGTGTCAGCTGTACATCAGCGATATTACAGAAAGTTATAAAACATTTGGAGTATTGCACTGCATTATATAAATATTAACAATAAAGAGTTGTAAAAGTATAAGCATTAGAAGTACAAGAGTAGTGATAACACATGTTTTGTGTATTGGGATTTAGTCTCCTTTCTTTTAGTATAACAATTACACAACATATACGTTTTTACAATATATATTAAAATTAAATAATGTAAAACCAATAGGCAATAAGAAATAATATTTCTAAAAATAGAAAGAAAGGGAGAAAAAAAAGGGGGGACAGAAGGGGAAGAGTGGGGAGTAGATAAGCAAGGTAAGGAGGATGATATCTTTCAGGCCAAGTATATAATTTTTTTATTCTATCCATGGACGCCAAGTTTTTTTGTGTGATGCTAAGTTCCCATTAATTTTAGCAGACATTTCTTCCATATCTTGAATAAAGTTCACTTTTTTTCATGAATATATCAATTGGGGAATCTCTTCTTTTTACCTCTTCACAATACTTTACCTACCAGCAAAACACATTGTGTGGCAGATGAACAATGTGGTAGGGGTTAAGTGTTTAATAGTGACAAGATAGAATCAGGGGACAAGGTTATCTCCAGTGCATCACTCAACATCTTGGAAAGTCCATTCCAGAAAGCTGATAATCTCTAGAGCGTGTCAACCACGGCAAGTGACGGACTGGGTCTATGTACCATCTGGATGAGCCTTTAGATCAGTTTTCCTTGCTTGTGGTACAGATGAGACCATTTGTAACAATTGCTGAATATATCCGTCCATGTGTTATCCAGTTCCTTTCCTATATCAGATTCCATGATCAATAATTTTTATAATCTTGTTTCCTCTAAGCAATTTGTTTTGTTAAGAGGCTATGTATTGCTGATATTGATCCACCATCGGAAGAATTATAGTTATATAAACGTTCAAATTGGGTCAAGTAGCATTGAGCTGCTCTGTGTGATAAGGATCCTAAATAGATCAGGATATTTCTTATATTTGTCAGTTTCTTTTTGATATAATAAGATTCTCAACAGTGAGCGATTAGCCTAGTTGGGCAAAATCTCCTCGTCACTAGTTTATTAGATATCTACCATATAAAACGCTGTTTTCTTACCACAGTTAGATTGAAATTTGGGATTACCTATTACTGAGGAATAGGAATCATTGCTGAGTCGTGTGAGGTTAGGAATCATTACCAAGTTGTGTGAGGTTAGATTGTCTTTGTATGATGTTTTTTTCCAGGGGCAAAAAGTTTGTGCCGTTGAGGGAAGAAGAGAATCTAGTGTATGTTTTTTCATATAAATATATAATAATTTCAAAATTTTCAGAGTCTGCAAAGTTCACCCTCAATGCCTCCTCAACAAAATATGTCAGATGGAGAATTACATTTTAGAGCTTGCACTAGTGTTGCAGCTCTTCAAAATAGTACGGGGCCAGGGACATCCAGACCACCTGATGGAAAGCTAGGTCAGTAAATAAAAGATTCACACACAGCTTATCCGGCTGAGGAAGCTACATCAAGTAGAGAAACGTGTACCGGTACTTTTATGGACATTGTTCCTTGTTTTATTTATATGTTTTGTTATATTTTCTAAATAAATGTGTTAATGTTTTATCCTGGCTCCTGACATCATGAGCATCTTACTTACAAAAAAGGGGGAGCATAGCCCTAAACTACACAACACACTACTACAGAGCTATAGTGGCTCTATGTTTGTAAGTACCAATTTGGCACTAGCTCTTCTATCATTACTTTAGACTGTGCTACTTTATTTTGTGTCTATGTGCTTTCTATAGGATTGGAAGTTTACCTTCTACCAGGGGCGGACTGACAACTCATGGGGCCCCCTGTAACCACTATCTTGCAGGCTGCACAAATATACATTATGCAGACATACATGCACCACCTACATATACATTCTTGTGTTACAGAAAGGGTTGTAATGTGGGGGGAGTAGGGGCTTCAGTGGGGGACAAGAGCTGTAGCATGTGGGACTGGGGCTTTAGTGCGGAGATAAGGGCTCTAATGTGCGACAGGGGCTAATAATGGCGGAATTGACACTGTAGTGGGGTATAGGGGTTGTAATTGGGGATAGAGATTGTAGTGTGGGGCTTGGGTGGTTAGGGAATGTCATGGGGGATGCAGTGGTGTATCCTGGTTTTGTGCTGTCCTAGGCAGGACAAAACTCAGCCCCCCCCCCCCGCGCCACCCCCACCCAACCGTTCCCCCCGCCCCACCTTCTAAATAAACACACATTCACTGACAGATACGCATACACTAGCTAACAGAAGCACACACAAGCTAACAGAAACACACACACTAACAGACACACTCACTAACAGACAAACACACACTCACTGACACACACACTCACTGACACACACACTCACAGGCAAACACACTCACACTAACAGACACACAGTCAGACACACACACTAACAGACACACACAGTCAGACACACACACTAACAGACACACACTCACTCACTAGCAGACACACACACACTCACAGGCAAACACACACTCACCAACAGACACACACTTGCAGACACACACACTCACTGACACAAAAACTCACAGGCAAACACACTCACACTAACAGACACACAGAGTCAGACACACACACACATACACTAACAGACACACACAGTCAGACAGACACACACACACACTAACAGACACACACTCACTCACTAGCAGACACACACTAGCAGACACACACACACACTAACAGACACACACACTCACAAACACACTCACACTCACACTAACAGACACACACACACAGTCAGACACACACACACACACACACTAACAAACACACACTAACAGATACACACACACACATTAACATTCACACACACTAACAGACACACTCACACTAACAGACATACACACTAACAGACACACACACACTAACAGACATACACACACACTCACTCTCATTAACACATTTTTTTCTATTTAACCCCCAGCCTCCTTACCTTTGGGAATGCTGGGGGGGGGGTTCTCTTTCTCCCTGGGGGTCCAGTGGCTGCTGGGTGGGCGGCGCTGGCAGGCGGCTGGCGAGAGAGCACTTCCCCTGAGCACTCTGCTCAGCTCTCTCGCGCGCCACAGAGTGAGGCTGGGAGCCGGAATATGACATCATATTCCGGCTCCCAACCTCACTCTGCGGCGCGCGAGGGAGCTGAACAGAGTGCTCAGGGGAAGTGCTCCCTCGCCAGCCGCCCGCCAGCCCGCCCAGCATGTCAGTTAGCCACAAGGCTAATGCCTGGAAAATACCGCCCAAGGCAAATGCCTTGTTTGCCTCGCGGCTAAAACGTCCCTGGGGGGATGGGGGATAGGGGCTGTAGTGGAGAAATAGGGATTGTACTGGGGAGACAATGGCTCTAATTGGGAAACAGGAGCTGTAGTGACGTGGTAGGGGATGCAGTGGGAGAAGAAAGGCTGTAGTGGGGTATAGAGGATGAATTTGTGGAATAGAGACTGTCATGGTGGATAGGGACCCTGAGTGGGACACTGCGATATCACAAGTGGATTGTAAATTGTAGGCTACATAGCAAAATAATTGGCTTACAAGGAGGTATGTTGTTATTGGTGCTATAGCTGATACATTGTAGAAAGAGCTCAAGCTGCCCTGCTATTGAGCATGGGGTCTATGATGTTAAAGGAACACTATAGTGTCAGGAATACAAACATGTATTCCTGACACTATAGTTGCAAGAGCACATTTTAGGTCCCCAGTCCCCCTCTGCCTCCATGGCTGAGATAATTAAATTTAACGATCCAAGCAAATCCAATGCTTTCCAATGGAAATGGAGACACTGAACATAAGTGCTACACACTGCGCAGCACTAACCCAGGAAGCACATCTAGTGGAGATCTGTTTGACTGCCACTACAGGTGATCCTAGGCGGTAATTTAAACACTGCCTTCTTTCTGAAAAGGCAGCACATACATTAAAAAGCCTGCAGGGAAAGGCTATAGACACCAGAACCACTACATTAAGCTGTAGTTGTTCTAATAACTATAGTGTCCCTTTACATTTGCCTCTGATATATTATTCCCCTGTGTTGTTATATGAATGCTTTGCACTTAGTGGTGGAACTACAGTAGAAAGGACACTGTTGAAATAATTTTTGGGAGGCACCGCTGATTGCAAAGATGTTGTTCAACTGACACAATGCTTTGCCAGCTGGAGATCTACCATTTGCCCATCCCTGCTGGATTGTACTTCGCATAGAGCAGCATTTGTATGTTTGAATGTATGTTTTTGTATAAAGTATCTGTGTGTGAATGTAGTAATGTATTTGTGTGTAGTGTTGTGTGTTTTTATGTGCTGTTGCCATTTGAAAGCAGTGGTTTACTTGTGTGTAATGTTTGCCTGTGAAAGTAGGGGTGTATGTGTGACGTGTTAGAGTTTGAATGCTGAGATGTACACACAGACACACACAAATACACAGGTACAGACATGCAGATACACAGGCACACTGACAACATACAGATACACACACTGACACACATGCAGATCAGTTAGTTTTGTCGACAAAATTTTAGTCAAGTTTTAGTCGACTACGTTTTTTGAGATTTAGTCGACTAAAACTAGACTAAAATTAAAACAATTCAGATGACTAAAATACAACTAAACTAAAATGGATGAATGACTAAAACTAAATTGAAATTTGCCGCCAAAATTAACACTGATGCAGATACACAGAAGTACACTAACACCATACAAATATACAGACACACATGGAAACACAGAAAAACAAATACATGTATACACATATACACTGTCACATACATACAGACTCACATACAGATACTCAGGTACAGACATGTAGATACACAGACACACACTGACAACATACAGATACACACAATGACATCCATGCAGACACACATGCAGATACACAGACACTGAAACACATCTAGATACATACATACAATGGCACACATACAGACACACATTGACACACAGATATACATGTACACACAGATAAAATGCACAAAGATCACATTACATATTTTTAGCGTATAATGAAAGACTATGGCTCCATGGCAATTGAACTGTATGTGTGTGGTATGAGCGCCATTCAGTAATAATGTGTGCTCAGACCTAAGCTATCTGGGGATATGTTGCATGTCTGTATTTTATGTAATAAATGTAACCTTGTGTATTTTACTGTCTTTTTACTGCCATGTTCTTAATGGAGTTTTGCATCTGTCCTTGGAGATAATTGGATTACTTCCCAATTATCTCCAGGATAGAAGACTATGTGAACTGGTTTTGGGCAGAAAAGCCATGCTTCATTTGGTCACAAAGGACTACAATCTATTTTTTGAACTACTGGAGCAATTTGTATGATTTTGACGTATGTTTGTATTTGGAGTATGCTGATTCTGAAAATGTGTATGTGATGCATACTTTTAAAGTTATGAATAATGTGGAAAAACTGTATTTCTCTGTCTGTGATAATTACATTACCCATTGTGTAAGGTAATTGTATCACAGGTAGAGGGGAGGATTTTGTGTGGGAGTGTCTGAGTGTATTGTACGTGTTTATTGGTTGTTTTCCAAAACCGTGTGGGTGATACTAATGTGTATATAAGAACAATAAACCCACAGCTCTGTCTGTTCCTGCTTGACCCTCAAAACGGATCTTTGTCTCGTTCTTGGGGGGATTTACTGTATGCTGTTAGAGACTGATTGCCAGGAGTGTAAGCCGCTTGGGTGCTTTTCCTGTTCAGCTGCTAGCAGCTATTCGTGAGGTTCCAGTTTGGGAGTTTGGAGTGTTACTGGGTATCCTGTTCAGGAGTTTGGGGTTCTGCAGTAGCTGTGCCTGTGTCTCTGGAAGGGGAAGATCTACTAAATGGCGGTTTGACCCTTTTATGCCTGGGGGTGTTGTTACATGCACATAGTATGATGACATTACATTTAGGTGTGGGTTTCTATTTTTGAAGAGAAAATATACTTACAGATCATTTGATGTCATTTATTTTGTCTGCTATGTATTCATTTTCTATAAAACACAGATTTATGTTAGCTGTCTTTAATCATTATAATTATAATATAATAATTTAAATGAATTTCAGCAAGACTATGTTAAGATAAAAGTTTAATAGATGTTTGCTCTCTTCCAACCACATAAAGTAGGTTGTCATTTTTCAATACCCCTAATTATTATTAACAGAGCATTGTGTTACCAACATGTCTTATTCATGTTACAAGGTGGGAGGTTTTCATAGATAGAAGTTGGAATCTTGTTACCAGGGCCAAATTTGTATTCACCTGGAGAATTATCTAAAGGTTGGAACCTATAACTTTAAATGACTGTCTCTGCATCTCTTATGGTTGCCCACTTAGTGGGTGCAGACCACTATCATTGCTTTCTGGTGCTTCAGAGAAAATCCAAGAAATCCCCCTTCCTTGGCCAAAAGACAAGCAATACAGAGAAGGGAAATTAAACTGTACAATAAAACATAATAATTATACATAAACAGTGTTTCAATAATGTGGATTACAAGCCATATATATAACTATACAATACAAGTGCACACCAAAAGTGTGTAAAAATATACATAAAATACAGATTACCCTTATATTACAATAGATTGTAAGAGACTCCCTTAAGTCTTCTTTATATAGAAATGCAAAAAAAAAAAAAAATCTAAGGATAAAGAGAGAGATAAAAAATAATGGTGCAGTAAATTTAAACACCAATAAATGTTAGTGGCTAAATGCACGCTCTAGAAGGAATTGATTGCAAGAAAGTCCAGCGTATCACAACAAATGTCTTGCCCAACCGTGAACTTGGAGGAGAATAACTCAGGTCAGGAACAAAATAATGAAACAACCAGAAAAATAAAATAATAAAACTTATATATAACTTTAAACAATAAAATAAAGTCTTATGTGGGTCCCTTCGCCCAACGCGTTTCGTCCTAGTTGGACTTCGTCAGGGGCAGCAGAAGATGTATCATGTTCTCCTCCGATCTCTTTTAAATGTAATTCCGCGCCATTCCATCGGGCCTGCAACCAATCAAACGGGGTGGTAGAAAGTAGATTCACCGGATTGTCTCTTCTTCCTGTATGCGCTCACCACCTCAATGTTTTTCGTGGAATTACATTTACACTTGATAAGGAAGTCTGTCTTTGGAGTGAGGGGGTGTGGCTAAAAAGGCAGGCTTATGGTGCAGCATTCTGCAAAACATGTATGTATTTATTTAATGCAAAAAATATAAATATTTGAACATGGAATGTCCCTTTATCTTCATTGGAGGACAGTCAGAGCACATGCTTATTTTTTTTTTTTTTCACTCTCATTTTGTTTATTCTAAGCCTTCATAGAATCAGACTATATTAGTAAGGTATTTGTGTTTAGTGGGGTTTTATGCACACCAGAAAACGTGAGATTTATTTTAAAAATGACACACTGAGTGATATATGTTTTGTTGCCAATATGAGCACAATACCTTCTTTTCACATTTTTATGCTAAGTTTGTTCTGTAGTGACATCCAAATTTTGCTGAATGATTAATTTTAAGTACATTATTTAGTCTTTTCGTAAGTGCCAGGTATGGCTCACTGCGATTTGAATACATTGTTTTAGTGGCTAGTCCTTTGCTGCAGATGAATCGAAAGTCTGGAAGTACTTTATCTTACACAGCTTGAAGCCTGACAGAAGTAAAAAAAAAATAATCTAAACATGCACTGAGAAGCATAAAACAGTGCAAAGTTTTGTGGGCACTTACAATAACATTTTATAAATAGTGTAGAACTACACAATACACAAAAACAGTGACTGTGAAACAAGCCGTTGGAATTACTGCATAATATAGTACCAAGTAGGAATAGTCTAATAAAAGTGAGGTGCACAAAGAAAACAGTAAATGTCAATACAGTGGCAAATAATCAAGCCAATTTTGTCACAGGCAAATAGAGCATCAGTATAAAATGACTTTCAGCAAAGGAAGACACCAGTTTAAAGTCCATTTGAAGGGGAACTGATATTTATTATTAAATTAGTCTTTACTTATCTGCTATATTTAACAAAAATGTATTTGTACGGGGTGAAAAACTAAATTATATGTAAAAACAAACAATTTTGATCCTGCAACTGAACACTTCCACCTTAGCTCCCTGGTAATCTTAGAGCTGGGTTGTGATATCATTTGCTAAATCTTTCACAAACATTGAAAAGAAAAGGAAACTTCAGATGAAAAAAAAATTAAAACTAATTATAGATGATTAAACAAATTATAGACGATTTTCAGTGTTTATATCCCCACCTGTACGGAGAAAAAATAATAATTTTACTTACCCTTTCTCACTCTCAGGCACTTCCTGGTTGTGGTGTTGCAATCTTTGCAGGACTGACATTCAGCATCTCCATGCTTAACACTCCTCATAGAGATGCTTTGAGTCAATGAGGAGATTCTGATGAAAGGACGGCCATTGCAAGACCGGTGCAACAGGAGACTAAAGATAAGTAAAAAGCTTTATTTTATTTGTTTTGAGGGGTGGGGGGATGTCCTTAATCTAAATAGTGAAAGACATAGTCAAGGAACAGTTTGGGATTTAGTTACGAAACATTGCATTGTAGTAAACTGAAAATGTGATTGCAAAATAAAGCCTAGAAGTGGTGATTTTGGAAAAACTAGGTGCCATCACAGTACTATTATTTTAGCCAAACAAATCTCCAAGGAGCTACTGTTTGATTTGCAATGTTTTCTCAAATGTCTGGAACTTAAAAGGTTAATTCTTTATGTTGGCCCCAAATTTAATGGTAATTATTTTTCCTTTAAAAAGTATGCATATTCATGTAAAATAAATATCCCAATAAGCAGACATTTAAAAAAAAAAATCTAAGATCTGGAAAAGATTCAAAGCTTTTTACATTGGTTAGTCATTTATTTTGATGGCTATTACAAATAAATAATAAAGAAATTAAACTACATTTTTAGAATTGTTATTATTTGACAAAGGAATTAAAAGTAACCACAACTAAAACACGTTTTAAAATGAAAACATATCGAGTTTAGGAACTTCTCGGTTTTCATTACAAAGTTTAGCCTTAATGTTTCCTTTCCTCTGCAACATTCTCCAGAATAGTTTTTTCCCATATCTGTTGTGGGGGTTTTTCTTAAATGTTTTGACAGCTATTTTTGCTAAAATATATACAAATTTGGTCATTAACCTTTTATCTGAAATTGTTTCTTTTCTCGAGTAGAATGTTGTCTTGAAAGTTTACTCAACGTGTTACATATCTTTCAACGTTTCTTGAATTCTTTGTAAACTGCACTCATTACGATGATAAATTACTGATCTATCACTGTAAGTTTGTTGGTCTAAGGCTCTTGCTATGTGTGGACAGACACAGCATGTTATTTTTGCCTTGCTAGCTCTATAGCCTTTCCATAGACTTATGGCAAAAGGCCTCTGGTGCCAGTTCTTGCATTCCAGCTGTTGTACATTTATCTTATTATAGAACAAACACTTTATCATCCTTTCACGATTCAGAGACTGTGGAGCAGACAATATTTGTGGCAAAATCCAGGAAATCTGGTAACAGGTTCTCTTAGGTTTCCATGTATGACGGAGTATTTGGTTTCAGGAATTCTCCTAATCGTTAGCAGTTATTTTTTTTTTATTTAATGCATATATTGATATATGTAGAAAGTGAAAGTATCTTTGGGTTTCTTGTATAAGATAAAATGTAAAAATTACTTCTCTTAAAAAAATCAATAAATCTTAGATTGTTATTGTTATTTTAAAACACGGTATATATTGTATATATTGTTTTTAACCCCTATACTACTATTATGCCCTATTTTAAGTGGCTCTAAACGCTGCCGGGCGTAATAGTACACCCTCCGTTTATTTTTACTTACCCGGTCGCCGGCGATCGCGTTTGGGGGGACTCCCAGGGAGCCCCCCGCGGCACATCCGACCTCCTGCAGCCCCCCCCGGCCATGTGAGTGTGAGGTCCTTGCGAGGACCTCACAATCACATGGCAGGGTTAGCTGCCTGCTGCATTGCCAGCAGGGGGACTGCCTGTAATGACAGGTAGTCCCCCTGCTGGCTGAATTCAAATAAAATAAAATTAAATCAGTGTAAAAAAAAAAAATATATATACTTAGATCATATATATATTTCATATATATATGATCTAAGTATATATAAAACACATATACATACACACACATACAGGGTCTATGTGTATTTTACTATTAATATATATATATATATATATATATTTATTAATATCAAATTACACATAGACTGATACTGATTAAATATATATATATATATAATTATTGTTATATATATTTCTATATAATATAAAAAAATATATATATAAATACGTTAAAAAATAAAATTACAAAAATAATTAAAAATAAATAATTAAAAAATATATAGATGTGTGTTATTTCGTTCTAACTGTATTGTGATATTAATATATATATATTTATATCAAAATACACATAGAACTAACTAATATATATATCTATATACATAAATATATACGTATATATCACTATATATATATACACCTATATATAAATAAAAATATTTTTTTAAAATTATATATATATATATATATATATATATATATACACACATACGTATTTATAAACATATATTAATTCTACATATATATTTATGAAATATTTTTACATAATTAGGTATCTTAATTAATTACAATTAGCGGGACCTGCCTGACAACCCATGCCAAAAGTAAAGGGAATTTAATTTGCTAGCACTATATTTAACCCTATCACTTTCCAAGACACCATAAAACCTGTACATGGGGGATACTGTTCTACTCGGGAGACTTCGCTGAACACAAATATTAGTGTTTCAAAACAGTAAAATGTATTACAACGATGATATAGCCAGTAAAAGTGAAGTTTTTTGCATTTTTCACGCACAAACAGCACTTACACGGACAATATTATTGCTGCAATACTTTTTACTGTTTTGAAACACTAATATTTGTGTTCAGCGAAGTCTCCCGAGTACAACAGTACCCCTCATGTACAGGTTTTATGGTGTTTTCAAAAGTTACAGTGTCAAATATAAGGCTTGTGTTTCATTTTTTTCACATTAAAATTCGCCAGATTGGTTATGTTGCCTTTGAGACCCTATGGTAGCACAATAATGAAAATTACCCCTATGATGGCATACCATTTGCAATAGTAGACAACCCAAGGTATTGCAAACGGGGTATGTCCAGTCTTTTTTAGTAGCCACTTAGTCACAAACACTGGCCAAAACTGGCGTTTTTTGCATTTTTCACACACAAACAAATACTGACGCTAACTTTCGCCAGTGTTTGTCACCAAATGGCTACTAAAAAAGACTGGACATACCCCATTTTTAATACCTTGGGTTGTCTACTATTGCAAATGGTATGCCATTATGGGTGTAAATTTTATTCCTGGGCTACTATACAGTCCCAAAGGCAACATAACCAATCTGGCGAATTTCAATTTCAAATGCAACGTGCTATATTTGACCCTGTAACTTCCCAAAACGCCATAAAACCTCTACATAGGGGTACTGTTTTACATGTGAGACTTTGCTGAATACAAATATGTGTATTTTATTGCAGTAAAGCAAACAGTAGTATGACATTGACAGTTAAAATGTCATGTAGAACTAAACATTTTTAAAAAATTCTTATTTTCTCCCATTCTTTTCATATTAAATTGTGTTTCATAGCTAAATATTTGATATTAAATGAAAGCCCTGTTTCCCCTGAATAAAATGATATATAATAAGGGTGGGTGCATTTAATATGAAAGAGGTGAATTACGGTTGGACAGACATTTTGTTTTGTTCACAACGTGTACATTTGGCTCAGTCCTTAAGGGGTTAATTGTAAAAAAAAAAACACAGACACACACAAAAAACTTTTTTTTCCATCCGGTACCAAAAAAGGAAAACTCAGTCATAATTAGAGATGTTGCGAACCGTCAACCGGCAGACCCTCCCTCCCAGACCCTCCCACCTCCTGGACAGCATCCATGTTGAAGCTGCCTTCCCACATCCCGGCCAATCTCCGGCAGACCCTCCCTCCCAGACACTCCCACCTCCTGGACAGCATCCATGTTGAAGCTGCCTTCAACATGGATGCTGTCCAGGAAGTAGGAGGGTCTGGGAGGGAGGGTCTGCCGGAGATTGGCCGGGATGTGTCAGCTGACCGGAGTTCGCCGCGAACCGCGGTGAACCGTTCGCGAGAATTTCGCGGACGGTTCGCGACATCTCTAGTCATAATAAGATTTTAGTCACCAAACGCTGAGTTTTTTGGTACAGAAGTTCATATTTTAACTTGATTCACCTGATTCACTTAATTAATTAATAGTTGATATTAGAATTATAGGAACTCTCTAGTAATAAAACCATTATTCAGTTTTCAAGTTTGTAGTGTTTATTTAATTCTACCACTCCCAACCCCTCTCTCCCATGGAAAAAAAATGAAAGTTTCTGGAGAAAATTGGCACATGTGGCAATTGCTGCAAATCAAATATGGAAATCACCTAGTAGAATGCTTCTCATAGGGAAGCATTAACTCATAATGAAACTGTCTGACCCACTGTCATGTGGGTATACTCAAATTGTTCCTAATCAATTCATATAAGTACTTTAGAGGTTTGAAATGTCAATTTAAAAGAGAGATCTGTAACCCGGTCTGGTGTAGGTGTAGGAGGAATGATGCACTTACAACCAGGAGGATTTGTTATGGCAACTGAGATGCCAAGACTGTTAATTTGATTGGAAGCATGTAGAGACCAAGCAGGGATTACCCGACAAATTAGATAGAACTGAAGAGAGCCATGGCATGCATACATTAAGCCTACATTGATAAAGTGTAATTGACTATATCGTTGTATACAAAGACAAAATATAGACACAGAAAATACTTGCTAGTAAATATATCTCAACGATAATGTACTGGAGAGAAATTAACCAAAGAGTTACTCTAACACAGATCAATAATTGAAAGATAACATGGACCCTCCTCTGCGTCCATACAGATATATTAGTGGCTTATATACACTGTATACTAGCCACTATATGATACTTGTCTGACTGCTGCCACATTGTATCTCTGTTCTGTGGTCATACAGTCACATTCTATACACATTACTTACAAGGCGTAAATAAATATAATATTATTCTACTAAACATTTTATGTTCTGCTCGATTACTCATCTATATGAATGTTGTTTTTGGCTATTTAAATTCAATGTGCAGTATAGAAGAAACAAGGGGCAAATTCAGTCACGTGGCCCATTGAACCACCGAATCAGCTCACCATCCATGCCCACCTCTTCCTGGTTTTATAATGGATATTGATGTTATGAAGCAAGACAAATATGATACAATGTGTTTTATGTGGGGGTGGTGGTGAGGAGGGCGGGTGTTGGTGAGAGGGGGTGATCATGAGTAGGAGGGGGGGTGATGGTGTGAAGGAGGGAGGTGATGGTGAGGGGTGATGGCAAGAGGGAGGGGGTGATGGTGAGGGGGGTGATGGTGTGAAGGAGGGGGTGTTGGTGAGAGGGAGGGGTAATGGTGAGAGGGATGGGGGTATTAATGAGAGGGAGAGGTGGTGATGAAGAAAGGAAGGGGGGTGTTGGTGTGAAGGAGGCTGGTGTTGGTGTGAAGGAGGGGGGTGTTGGTGTGAAGGAGGGGGGTGTTGGTGAGAGGGAGGTGGGTGATGGTGAGAGGGAAGGGGTATTGGTGTGAAGGAGGAGAGGTGTTGGTGTGAGTAAGGGGGTGATGGTGAGAAGGAGGGGGATAATGTGTGAGAGGTGGGTTATGGTGTGAGGGAGGGGGGGACTAAATACATTTGTATCATTACCTGGTGGTCCAGTGTGGGCTCCCTGGTAATCCAGTGGGCTCCTGGTGGCCCAGTGGTGATATCCGGTCTGCAGCTCCGCAGTGTGCAAAGCAGCAGCCCATGACCTGGTCAGCCCGAGATCCAGTCAGAGCATTGCTGTGTTAGCAAACTAAACAATTATGATAAAAAGCCCCAGATATCATGTCCATTTGCGTGATATATGGAATAAAATACAGAGGGTGACTCAAGAAGCAATCCTTCAATTAATTTGTATAAGTCTGTGCAAGCGACGGACACCCCTCTATAACCTGGCAAAAGGCTCTGAGGTTGATGTGACCTGCATTATTGGAATTTCCAGGACCTAGGTATTTTTAAAAAGACGGAACATTGACTCCACTTGATCTTAGACTAACTGAGGTGGTGCATGGACAATGTCAGATTCAAGTGAATTCTTGAAAATTGATTCTTCCCACCTCCTTTGTAGAGTCCCAAGATCCATCTGAAACATAGCCTCACATGTGTATGAGCAACGTTTTCAAGGGACACTCCACTGTCCAAATACAAAAAATATCACTTTTTAGTAGATATATCTCTAATGAAAAAAAATGCCTTTATTTAATGCATCCTTTTAATTGGGAGTATATCTAAAACAGCTTGCAAAGACTGCAGATCTCTTATCTGCATCTTGTTAAAGTCACCCCCTAATTCCTCAGCCCAGCTTTTTGGTGGTCCAGTCACAGACTACCCAATGCAGTCTGTGCAAGGCAAGTGCTTCGTGCAATTGCCTTCCTCTTGAGTTTAGCTTCATTAAGCTAAACAACCAGGAAATAACAGGACTGTCTGACAGCCTGGAGGTGTCATTTGCAAAAGTGTCAATTTCAATAGAAAGCTGCACATTTTCGTGAAATGGAAAGAAAAAAGACCAAACTCTTCACACACAAAGCATGTTAACAAGCTAAAGTGATTTAGGGGTCTGGAGTGTCCTTTTAATATATTCCTTTATCAGAAGTTGGCTAAGTCATTGTCATTGAAGACCATATCTCAATGTGAGAATCAGCTTCTTGTGGCTGTTCCCATGCACTCTGCAGAGGATTCATCTGTGGAACTTCACTCATGTAACATCTTGAGTGAAAGGATCTGAGCCATTGAACTAGAAAAGATTTGTTGTCTGACTACCTAAGTGAGTGATCCCATCCCACTATTCTTATGACCCATGTTATAGGGAGCTTCAAAAGAGTTTAGGATGTCTTAACAATACTGCCAAAAAAAGCATAAATAGTACTCATTAGCAATGTGAGACAATGTCCACGAGGTTATTATATTTCTTTCAACAGCTGTTAATTGTGTGTAACTAAGTAATAAAGTATCTGTGTCTCAAGTTGTATGCTTCAATAGCAGTAAATAAATAAAGATGAATTGCCACCAGTCACTGCACCAGACCTGTATATATATATATAATATATATACAGGGTGGTCCAAAATTCTGAGTAGGGTTTTAGGAGTCAATAATTTTTTTATTAATGAATCAATTTCGATAATATTAAATACAATGAAGAGAGAAAAACAAATAGCAAGAGAGGTGAGAACGGACAATAGCTCAAGTAGCCTGCCCTTCGGTGGGTCCCCGCTCAGATCTCAAGCTGGTTTTAGCTCATCTTGTGCCATTACAGAGAGAACATCTCTGAAGCATATCAGACTGGTCCCACCCATACGGGCAGTCCAGAACCGAAATGCCAGCAAGTTCCCTCTGCATGAGAGATACAGCAACCCCAGACGATCGTTTCAACCTTGTAAGATATCATCAGTGAGGTATAGCCAATATTCCTCTAGGCACCGTGAACAAGAGGTCCACGTCAGGATTGCCCTTTAAACTTAAAGAAAGAAAAACAAATAGCAAGAGAGGTGAGAACGGACAACAGCTCAATTAGCCTGCTCTTCGGTAGGTCCCCGCTCAGAACTCAAGCTGGTTTTAGCTCATCTTGTGCCATTACAGAGAGAACATATCTGAAGCATATAAGACTGGTTCCACCCATACGGGCGGTCCAGATCCGAAATGCCAGCAAGTTCCCTCTGCACAAGAGATACAGCCTAACAAGGTTGAAACGATCATCTGGGGTTGCTGTATCTCTCGTGTAGAGAGAGCTGGCCTGTATTTTGGATCTGTTTTTCACTTTTGAGGGGAATCAGTCTGAGAGGCATGGCCTGGTTCTCTCTGTAATGGCACAAGATGAGCTAAAACCAGCTTGAGAAATGAGAGGGGACCCACCGAAGGGCAGGCTAATTGAGCTGTTGTCCGTTCTCAGCACTCTCTTGGGACTTGTTTTTTGCTCTCCTTAAATACAATGAATGCTTACCATATGAAGATTTGTTTGACTAGGTTATGGAAGTCGGGCTCTTTCAATTGCATTGTTCATAACATTGGTTATTGTTTGAGGCTCTAGCGCTATAATTTCTGCATGGATATATTCCTAGAGCTACTCAAGTGTATGGTATTGTTCGCATACACTCACTCCTTTAGATATCCCCACAGGAAGTAACCGTGAGCTAAAAGGTTGGACGAACATGACGGACAATTAATCTGGGAATTTTTTGAAGGTATCTACTCATCAAACAGTTTTCCCAAGAGGTCGATTGTGGCTCTGGCTATATGGACATTGGCCCCATCCTCAGGGAAGCAGCACCTTCTGGTGTCCGCAAACTCGTATGGTGGTGAGTCAGTATGAAAAATATGAGGACAGAAAACTGAATATAGTGTAGTGTATTCTATAGGTCCCATCCTGTTGAAACAACATTTGACATTTGAGGATGATTTTCCACTTTTGTTCATAAAGTTTTTTTAATCAAATCTCAATATCTGACAACAATAAAATTCCACTATTTTGACTCATTGTTCCTTTGTGAAATTTTCCATGATTATCCGAGGCTCAGTTATAATATGTACCTCCAACAACAAAAAATTACCAACAAATAAGCAAATCCTACTCTGAATTTTCACCACCCTAAATCTATATATATTTATGCTAGCCAGGCCTTACGACTTACTCGCCACTGGCATGGCTGCATTTTCAATCCTCAATGTCTAATGCTGCATTTAAAGTTACCGTAAATAGAAATCCTATGGCAGTCAATTCACTTATGCACTAGAATAAATGTTTTATAAGTGACAATAGCAGTACTCAGTAATCTATCTTCATTCATTCTTTCTTTCTTTCTTTCTTGTTTTGCTTGTTTGTGGTCTTTTTTCTGGAAATGTTAATGATGCTTAAGTGATTTTGTTCTTTTTCAAGTAACATGAACTGAGGGCAAGTAATGTAATTACCAGGGAAAGGGACATTTAATTATTTGAATAGAGTCCT